ATACTAAAAATTCAGATCGGTCAAGGCAAGGATGAGGGAGAGGGGGTTTAATTTGTCGCCCGGAGGCCAATTTTGCTATTTTACCCCTAAAAAACCACAAAAATGCGATTATTTTTCGAGGAGCTCCGACAACCTATTTCGAAATTGCCCAAAAACCCATCAGGGAGTACCCCACTACAACCTCCAACTTGAATTTTTGATGTACAACAAAGTCGCATTTAAAGTGAGTTCAGGGGCACCGTGCATGATTGCTATGTATTTATGAAAAGAAATGTACATTCACATTCAGAAGGCTGTATTAATTATAGTAAAAATTGTCTAGACAATTTATGGGCGTAAGTACTACATAGGAGAATTGCAGTGAGGGAAAAGAGGGGCAAAAAGAGAGGATCAGAACAAATACTTGTTTAACTTTTTTTTCAATGAGGAGTAATTTAGGCTGAATTTGACAAAATGAATTGGATTTGGGTTGATCATAAGTAGAAATTTGACTTTTAGAGCAACTTCAGCTTGATAGCAGAATGAAGAGGGGGAGGGGGTCCAAGAGGTAATCGTCCACATTCCTCTCACTGCTTAAAGATACTGAGATCTGACTCTCCTGATTCATGGACACCACAATCTGCATGAAAAACAGATAATAGTTTACAGTGTGCACGACTACATTATGCTTACAACACTGAAAAAGAGGGAACAATCATGCAATAATGGAAGGGATTCCAGGAAATAATGATGAAAATAATGGAAAATTAATAGATAACATAATGATGAAACACTTACGTGAAAGTACATATAGGCTTTGAGAAATAGTTTCTGTAGTCAGGATCTTGTTGCACGCGCAATGGTGGAATATTCCGGCCTTTAGTGGGCAGCTGCAAAGCGTTCCTGCTTCTTGGGTGGAATCTTAAAAAAACGCAAATTTCTTACGCAGACTGTGAAGTTAGGAATGCATTTCAGAGTTTGCCGATGCGCTCATCGTGATTTTTGAGAGATTATCTGGACCGCATTAAACAGAAAGGAACCAAGCCACATCAGTTATTGCCAAATTTAATCGGGCAATTTAATTTTTTACATGAATACGGTTGTGCAGATTTTAGAGAATTTTCTCCATAATACAAAGCAAATTCCTTAAAATTTGCAAAGGAGTCTGCACAGACATTCTTTCGTAAAACAATGTAATTTCCCTGTTAAATTTGGCAATAGCTGATCTGGCTTGGTTCCTTTCTGTTTAACGCGGTCCATCTGTAAGGAACAACTCTTACTTTTGTTCTAGCGAAAGTTTGCAACAGGCTCATTGATTGTCAGGCCAAAATTGATAAAATGTTGAAAGCAAAGGATTGGCAATGACTCCTTCTTCAGTCTTTTAATCTAAACATTTCCAGCAGCTTTACCAGTAAGCAGGCGAAAAAATCAATGTTTTCCTACTAATTAATAACTGTGTTTAGATTTTAAGAAAAAAACTCCTGATTGTTTCAATATATAGTTTACGCAATTTGTCATTGTTTTGTTACCTTGAAAAGGGATTGAAAGTTTGTTATGCAATTTTACAAAGCTCTATCAATTCTAAAGAACGGCTGTGATATTAATTTCTGTTGAGCTCACCCCAAGTAAGTTTACACACTTTCGTAGTGCCATAGAAGATCTGCTGTTTTTAGTCTCAGATGGCAAGTGCACAATGCTTAAAATTTTCCGGACCCTGAGAAATGGAGCTGTTGCACATGTAAGGAATTTGCGATTTAAGTACTGACTCCTAGAATGCCTCGAAAAATACGATGTGCCACTGGTTTTCTCTGAAATCAACTCCCAAGCTCAAATAAGCTCTCAAAGTTGAGGCAGTCATGGAGGGGATATTCCTCGCTATATTGGAAGTTTACTTCTATGTTAAGTCGCACTCCCTATGCAAAAATAGGGAGCAAATACATTAGCAGGGTTGCTGTGTTTTCAGTTTTGAAGGACCCCAAACAGAATGGTAGCCCTGACAGTGTATTTTATTCCTACCTTTGCATAGAGACTGCGACTTAATATAGAGGTAGACTTCCAACATAGTGTGGGATATCCCCTCCTGTTCAGCCTCAACTTAGAGAGCTTTTTTTGAGCTTGGGAGTTGATTACAGAGAATACCAGTGGCACCATCGTGTTGCTTGGAAAATCTTACGCAGAAATCAGCAAAAAAAAATCGCAAATCCCTCAAACGTGCAACAGCTCCATTCAGTAAGTGAGCAAGGCCAGAAAACGCAGTGTGTTACTTACTGTTGTCACAGTACCAGAGTTCAAGAGGCGATAAGGAGGTGCAAGAATGTGTCTTATCAGTATTATCTGAGTGCCTGACCAAGCATTTTCTTCTCATTCCTCAATACATTTTTATTATTCTTGGGTACACATGTGCTATTAGTTTTTGTTGGTAGGTAAGTCCTTTCGTGAATGAGCCAGAAATAGTGAAATAGTAAAGATATATAATAGCCAGAAATAGTAATCCATGTGTTTGCCGAAAGAAATACAATTGAGAGTTAGCACCTCTTTCAGGTAACCATACTTTTTCCTTGTTCGGTTTGGCCCACTCTCCATGAATCTGGATAATTTGAAGCACATTAAATAATTGAGATAAGGGATCTTCTGTCTCCTTCTAGATGTGTGTTAGGTAACTTTCTTTGGGTGAAGTCTATTGTACTTTATTTTTAAGGCGAAAATTTTTATTTAATTCATTGCATATTACTTGTAAAGAAAGACGTTCAACAATGTATTAATTTTTTTAACTATGATCTCAAGTAAATTATTTGTATGCGATCAAGACACAAAGTTATAAAAATGAAAAGAATAAAACAAGTACAATTTTTAAAGCAAATAAGATTTTTTGTTTCTTCTTTGGCTCCACATGATGTACATTTGTGCCACATGGTCAATGCAGATTAATAAGACTCATGCGAGTTGCAGATCTTGGATCTGGTTTTCCCAATAAATTTGCCCAAAATATTCTGCCGATAATCCATTACTGTACACTGGTATGTTCATTCATCAAGCCTCAGCAGGTTTCTAAGTATTGGATTCAATTGGTCATATCGAAGGCTCATGAACAATACCTTCTGACAATTTTGACAAAAACGAGTCAGCAACTGTCCAGCTTTCTACAGTATTAAAAATGCAAGCTAACATTTTAAGATTTTCCCAATTCCGCATTGAAGTGCTGTAAGGCCTTGTCTCCACGAGCCGTTTCGCGAGATTTGTCCCAGGGAAAAACTTGTACCCCTAGGACCCACTGAGAGAAGAAGAAGAAGTGAAAACGAATTTTGCGATATTTTATTCATTACAACATTGTTCATGTTTGTTTAGTTAAAAAATGTGTCTAATTGTCAATTGAGTGCAATTATTATTTTAATCCCAGTCAAATATTCGACTTTAACTAATTTATCTTCCCGCGCAAATTAGTCGCAGGACTACAAAGAGCCCTGTCCCGTGGAGACGGTAACTGGGAAAAATCCCAGAAGTTTCACTCCTGCGATTCGAACTTGGGAAAAATCCCATGAAATCGCCAGCTTAAAGGTGGGCGATATTGTTCATTAGCCATTGATATACAAAAGCAGTCCAATGAAAATTGGAGACCCTTAAAAGAATTTACCTGTTTCAGAGGTGTCTTTATTTAAGTTTAGGAATTGAAGGCGGGTGTGGGCAAACCCGTGTGGCAGAATTCGATGCTCAAGCTCTGCCATAAATGAAAGGAAAGCTGTCAAAAGACATGACTCGGCTTGGTAGAGAGACAGGGTTATTCTTAAAGTTGCAGTGCACATACACTTATTTAAACGATACTTCTCCAAGCGAGAATTGCATTATGTAAGAGAGGGCTATCTCTATCTACAGAAAGCCAATTACTGGAAGTTTAAAGCAGCCCAATGAGACATTGAAAATGGTTGAGACAGAGCCATGTCTTGTCTCATCGTGAGAGCAAAGTTGCTGCAAGTCACAAACCGTTAATCCTCTTTGCTTCCACTGGTGTCTTGAATAGTTTTTATGAGCGCTCATCATTTCTCATTAAAACAATAAGTTTTTAATTTTGAATCCATCCTAATGAAGAATGTTACTTGTCCTAAACAATACCAGAATAGTCTCTTTTTAGGACACTCATTGTAGATTGACTTCATTTGCATAATTGTGTCAATATGAAAGGGGGGGGGGCGAGGAGAAAAACCAGAATGATTGAGACTTTGTCTTCTATAATTTAAATTATAAACATCTTACTCTGACAACAAGATAAACTTAAATTGTGTAAAATCTTACATCTTATATAAAATATAAAAAAATATGAGTGAAAAATGTTACAAAAAGAATTATATTTCTGAGGTAAAGTAATTGAAGACTAAAAGAAACTTAAACTGAGAGACTAAAGAACTAGAAGTCTAGAAGATTAAAAGAAGTTAAGGAACATTCCAAAGCACACCTGACAGTTATTTCTTGCCTCATTTTCAAAAATGTTCTTAATTTTTTTGAGTTTTTTGCAGAGACAAAAATATTTCAGACATAAAACTTTTATTTCTAACAAAAATTTCTCCTTTCATAATGCAATATGCAAATTGCATGACTGATTATTTTTTGTGACTCCGTAAAATAAATCTGTAGAAGTCTTTTAATTTTCAATCATAACAAGTTAAAATGCTCTGGGATAGTCTAAATCATTCTGCGAGGATAATTTACTTCTGCTTTCAGATTTCTGACTAATCATAATGACAAGTTACACTATTTAAAACAGCTTTAAAAATATTGACCCATGAATTGTTGTCCTAAAAATTCAAAATCTTTCAATGTTATCAGCTGAACAAAAATGATTCAAGAGTAATTTTAGAATCAGATTAAGACATTTTGGAGAAAATAGCTCTTAACTATGGATATATGCACTTGAATAAAATTAGAAATACCTGTAAAGAACTTTCACACATTTTACAAGTGCTGAGAGGAATTGAAAGAAATTAAAGACCAAGATGAACGAGAAATGTCCAGAAACATCCTACAGATCAATTTGCATCACTGAGGCGCATGATATCAACTTAGGAATTTTTGGCATCAGTATTGGTTTAGGTTGAAACTAACATATTCAGGACGCTGCTTTCTCTCAAATTGGATCATCAAAATGAGAGAAATGCTTAATGGGAGGATGAATAGGTTCTATCTTCCTCCATGGCTGACTCATCGTCTGATTTATCACTTGAAGAATTGTTGTCTTCGTTTCCACTGGCGTCACCTTCATCGTCCGAATTTGCATCGCCTCCTTGATTGCTATCTGAATCTTCATCTGCCACTGTTGACTGCACAAAATAATAAATGAATTCATGAGCAAAAGATGAACGATAGGACTTGTGAATTCCTTTATTTGATATGTCAAGTAATGTTTCAGAGAGATTTTGGGTCCTGCTGGCATAAAGGTTGCATCGAAAGAATTTTGCATTTGTACCCCCAGAACGTTTTCCCGCAATGTGACACAAGGAAAAAGTCGCACTTACAAAGTTGCGGCATTATCGAATAACTGATATCAATAGCAATAACTTTTGTAGAGTTCCAAGACCAACTAAGGGAAGAAAAAGAAGCGAAAGCAAATTGTGCGATATTTTGTTGTTTGCATTTATAAACTTTAAATACTTTATTTAATCGTTTTAAATTGAATCAGTGAGTTCGAAAACACACCAACTTAGGTTTTTTTCGATTTTCACTTTCTTGCGGTTTCATGACACTTGTGGATAGAAGCATCTACAAGCAAAAGGAAATTTCGAAATTGCAATCAGAAGTGCTCGAAACAGCGACAGGAAAAAGGAAAAATCGAAGTTTTTCATTGGAAATACCAATTTTTGGCCATATCAAGGGAAACGGGTGACCATCCAATTTCCAATATTCAAATTTTGCCCCCTTTCTGAGCTCCCTGGTCTACTCTTATATAAAAAACCTGGGTCATATTTTCAAAATCTGAATAGAGCGGGCTCATCTGGAGACAATTGTCTGTTGATAGCGGCAAAAATCATGAAAAACGGCCCAGTAGAACACTGGAACTAAGCGTTACCAGATATGCAAATTTCGGAGGTCTCGGAGCTCATAGTATAGATAACCTTGCAAAATTCTTTGTCATTGCCCCATTTCTTCTCAAGTTTTAATTTTGTGAGTGTATTTATTGTAGTGTAAAAGTTATTGACAAAAACTTCCGACGCATTATGTTGCTTGGTTTGTATATCAAATAATACTTGATGGGAAGAAGTTAGACAATTTAGAACAGTTCGGCTGATTTTATTCAAATCAATCCACTTAGATATAGATAGAGATCATAATTTTTAAGGAAAAATTTATTTTGAATGTCAAAATAAAAGACAATTATTGCAACACTGTAATAGATATTCCAGAAAGCCTCAAATTTCATCCAGACTACCTTACAATAAGATGTTTTCAAATTTTACATATTTATTCTTTTGACAAACCAATGCCTATTAGACTGGTTGGGCGATGTTCAATAGCATTATTGTATGAGAATACAAACGTTTGAAAATTTTAAATGAGGGCTTCCAAAAAATAACTTGAATTGTACAGTTGTTATTACCTGCGTGGGAATTTCCTCTCCTTTCAAATTTTTATTCCTCATGCTCCCAAGGAAGAAAGCGTCCGTGCAGCCATTGAGAACGACAAGATTTTTCACTTGTAAAACGACAGTTTCCAAAGCCATTCTGATTTGCGGTAATTTTTTGGCCAGTGCAGTATCTGAAGCCACCTGAGATAAAAAATAATATGACAGTTGTAGTTAAGCCAAGACGTAAAGAACATGGTTAGAGACAAATAGAGAAAAGAAGGTCAATTATTAACATCAAGTTGGTTATTCACAAATCGTTCTTTTACACAAACCTTTTGGGTTATCATGGAAAGAGGATACAACCTATTTATATCTCCAATCTTCCTCATTGATTGCTAGACTCGAATAAAATGCATCTCTAGAATCTTCAAGTTTTTGCCCCTTTATCATTTTTGCAAAATCTTACGAATCATCTCTTCGGGCTAAACTTTTCACATGTATATACTTTTGACACGGAGGAGCACAAAAATCAAGGAAGATTTTAAGGAATGATGTTGATTAGTTTTCTATTTGGAAAACAAGAGGATTTTTGAAATGAAATATTTCTCACTTTGATCAATAAAATCTGGCCACTACCGATCTTCACAGATAAAACAGTTCTCAGGAATGAAGGCAGATGACACAGTCTCCCTGATTTTTCCCATTTTCACAGGATTCTCTCAGTTTTTCACATTCTCACAGGATTCTCTCAGTTTTTCCCATTCTCACAGGGAATTTCCCTCTTACACACAACCGAGCAAGTAGTACGATCAGGAAGGTCCTGCACCCCTAAGTTGAGCAATGGCCATGTCCGTCTACAGGCTGTGTTTCAGTATTGATTTGAAATTGGTGACTGTTAAGTTTCTTTAACAGGAGATATGTAGGTGGTTTTACTCGGTTACTTACTTTTACATGGTTGCAGACTGTTTGAACATATCTAGTGAGGGTTTGGAATCTTTTTAGAGCTTGAGAGACTTCTGCATTTTTCGTACGGAACATGACAGAGCAGACAGGTACTGCTTGGGAGTTGAAAAGTCGCAAAATTCCGAGAGAACTCTGAAAAAGAATATCGGCGATACGTTAGGAGCTAAAAAAAATGGAGAGAATGTATATTAACTTTTGTCACAAAAAATTTCCCTGAATCGACTTTTGGCAAAAGAAGTTTTAGATCAATTTTTAGTGCGTTATAAAAGAAAATAATAATAAAAAACATTAAAAAAACTGGTGCAAAAAATTAAGAGATAAAAATTGAGGTAAATTTGGATCCAGTTTTATTAAAATTCGACTTATTTTTTACATTCAGTTTGAAGTTTTCAGGGCACTTTTTTCCTGTGAAAATGTAGGCTTTTGGTAAAAACTTCCTTGAGAAATTGTGTAAAGGTTGGTCAGTTTCCACTATGTGGCAAAAACTGATTTATTTCGCTTAAAATATGCCCACTGTAATGGTTCAAGAATAACAAATCAAATGCGAATTCATTTATTTCCCGCATTCTTTTTATTCACAGATTTAAAAAACAGTTTTTTTGGGAAGTTTTAGAAAAAACTGGGTAAAACCAAAAAGCGAGTTTTCTTTTTGGTAGAGAATTTTCCACTTCTTCCTGTGCATGTTAAAGTGGCTCGGCAACAGGGTTACTCAAAGGAATTGTTTGATAATCTTCCGTCTCTTGATCTTGCACAGCTATTGGAACTGAGCAGATATCTCCTAAAAAACTGTCATTTCATCATCATGATAGATGAGACAGTAGACTCAACAGAGCATTTAGATTACATAGCAAGTTTCATGGAATAACTTACGCTCACAAATGCAACAAGATTCTGTCTGCCGTCGAACGTTTTGACTAGTTTCACAACTTTCTCCAGAATGTTGGTTGCTTTTGTCCAGACTTCGAGTTTTTCAACGTCAGAATCTGCTGAATCTAGCCCCTGGCGAATAGCACTTTCTATCGACTTGCAGAGTGCCTTCATCAGAACAGGAAAGTTGGTCCTGTAAGAGATATTGAAAATTGTACTATAAAGACCTTCCCAGTCACATAAATCTAAATTAGGGACCCAAGTGAGGACTTCCCAGTTCCTGCAAATTCTTGGCTGAAATATATTTTCACAGAGAACTTCGGTGAGGAACTCACACACATGCATATATGCAATCGAATACTTGAAAATAAATTGAATACTTGAAAAGCTTACTTCAATCAAATTTGTTTTTAACGTACCTTACTAAGGGAATGAAGAGGCTCAAAATGACTTGTTCTCGAGGACCTCAAAATTATCAGAACTAATATCTATCTGGGTAGACTATCTGCCTAATAAGTTCTGATAATCCATGGTTCAGCGAAGCAGCCTTGTCTTTTACCAACTTTCCACGATTTAAACTTTAAAACGATGTTTCTATCAAAATAAGGATTTCAACAAAAGTCTGGCACTGCAAATATGTGTAAGGAGTCCTGTTTAATAGGTAAAAAAAAAGAAATGTAGAATTAGAACTGACTTGCTTATCGTCGGGAAAGACTCCAATCTAGAATCTTTTGAAGACAAATCAGCTGCCTCTGCTTCCACTAGAGAGATGAACTCTTCGAGAAGACTCAGCTGATCTTCAGTCATGGAAAGATAGTTGTATAGGAATGCTTCAATCACTTTGTTATAGATCGAACCTTGCTCTTCAGTACCATCCAGGTCGTACCAACGCCGTTTTAGGAATTTCAGACAAATTTTTCCTGAAACATTTCCCGAATGCATCGAATAATTTTTGCAAAAGTAAAGCAAACTCAGTATTGCAGTGAGTCAGTTGCGCTGGTGACAGAATTGTGTTTTGATGCTTGAGTCTCGTAGATTAGCTAAAACTATTGAGATCTGTCCAAACCGCAACTTTCTAAGTTCAGTATTAACCAAGGTATGGCCCTTTGAAAAGTTGGGTTTTTGACGTCATCCACCGCGGTAGTGAATGACACCCTTAGTTTCTTCCAACTTGCTTTCATCCAAGTTTCACATAGAGTAACCACTGCTAATGTGTGTCTCCCTTACTGATAAAACCAAGGTGGAAGAAACCGAGAGTGTCACTACCGCGGTGGATGATGTCAAAGACCCGACTTTTCAAAGGGCGATATCTCGGTCAATATTGAACGTAGAAAGTTGCGGTTTGAGCAGACCTTGACATTTTTAGTTAATCTACTAGAATCAAGCATCAAAAAACAATTCTGTGACCAGCGCAACTGACCTACTGCTGATAGCATACATGCTGATGATATGAAATAAATAATATGGGTGTTAAGTGGATATCATTTTCTGCCAATTTGTAGCTGGCAAACATTTAAAAGAGATTATACGATGCGAGCAATCATCTAACCAAACGAAGCACACAGATGACACAGCCATGTGTATAGTGAGGGGTTTTGGGGTGGAAACATGAATTGAGATACTTGATTTTTTAACCTGTCTATCAGTCTGTGTTGCGATGAAATAATTTGTTTACACTCAATTTACATGAAATGCATGAAAACTTTACAGAATTCCAATCAATCAGATAAATAATCATGAGATTTACCAAGAGCCTCATTAGTAGTTTCTTCGTTGAGGTGCTTGGCAAGAGCTTGGTAAAATGAAACGAGGCTCTGCGCTGATGCCAGATGCAGGATATGTTCCTCAATGCTGACTAGGTACTTGCAACACTCAGCGGCCAATTCATCAACAGTCATGTCAGAGCTGGCCTCAGTTGCATCGGAATCCTGCGCCAACCGAACTAACCCAGTCTTGAATAGCTCGTGGTGCTGCTGCGATTTAAACCCGTTCCAAGAGAAGATTGCTGTGAGAGCCTGGGAGAAGAAACAAAGAATTATCATTGATTAGGTCAATACATAATTGCAACTCTTTTGTTAGGGCAGGGACGAGTTGACAATTTGCGGTGTGACAGCCCACTGCAGAGCAACCTTGCATGAGATCCTTGTGTAGTCAGAAGATCCCACTTCCCTCAAACCTAAACCAATCAATCAACCATTTTAAAGTGAGGTTCAGCCAATAGTTGAAAGCTAGACAGTACCATAACTAAATCTTAAGAATATAAGGATATTTGGCATTTTTTGACTCCTTTTGCATGAGACCTTCTTGCCAGCCCACTGAAAAGAAAAACAAGACCGATCTGAGGCAAATATTCATGGTATTAAGGATTGGTCATGATGCTCAACATCAGTTGATTGCGAGGATCTTACACAAAGTTGCAGCACTAGCAACTGCTCAACCGTTTTCACATTGGCTCTTACTGGAATTCAGAGTTCTATGGAGCACGCCCCTGGTTGGAGGGAACTATTAAATACAAAACAAATTTAGCTTGTATTCGGACATCGATAAGATCTAGTATGCCTACGAGAATGAATGGATAGCTCATCAATCACTTGATGATTTCTAAGTTTTAAGACTTTTTTTACAAAACCCCTGAAAGTCACACCTGTGGCAATTCCCACTCACCCTGAATATGAGTCCTAGACATTGTTTGATATTCTTGCTCTCCGGCATGAACATTCCACGATTATCAAGGATATGGTCGTTAACGAGCAGTAGATTTTTGGAATACTCCAGGATGGTATTTCGGTGGCCGCACAGATTTGGAAGCAGTCTCAAACAGTTTTTGATGATGCTCACGGCTGGAATCGAAGATATTGAGTCGATGCCAATCGGAACTGTGTTGGCTGTTTTCAAGTGAGAGAATTTCTTTACAGCTGCCAGACAGTGTTCCACTTTGAAAACGAAATCTTCGAGAAGAAATAGCAACTCATTTGGTCCGAGTTCTGGGCTGAAATTTCCATTCTGTAAAAAGAGATACAGGATATACTTAATATTAGCGATGAGACTTCTTTACCGACAAAAATTAACTTAAATTAAAACACTTGACATTAACTTACTTTTCATTGGCATTTTTTTATTCAGTTCCCCATCCAAATTCTATTGAACAGCTTAAATTGAAATTACAGTTAAATAGAGCTTTTTTATTTCATTTGGAGTTTAAATAACACTAAAGCCCATGTCTTCTGTTTTAAAAAAACTTTATCGTTTTAAACAGAAAAGAAAACCTTGATACAAATAAAAAATAAAAACTACGTAGGTAGTAAAAAAATCCCAAAATGAACCCTTTCTGGGAAAGAGATGTTTTGGTGTAATAATTCCTACTAGACACTTGGTACCAAACTAAAACTAAATTTAAAAAATGTCGAAACTTAGGAATGAATATTTTTGCAGTGGACAAAGGTTTTGATACATCTATTTCTAGTTGAAACTGGTTATGAACATATTTCTTTCTTTGTGAATAAAAGGGTAAGTCACTGACAACCTCAATGACTGAACTATTAAAATAAATAAATAAGTAAGTAAGACAAACGAAACATCATGCCAATGTGTTGGATTAAAATTACATAATACTATGAATGTGTGTGGCCAAATTGAAAAACTTGCATGTATCTGCATTGCAATGTTTTAAAATTTCCGATCCTATTTTATTTCTTCGCAGAGAAACAAGCCAACTTTGTAGTTTGAAATTGACACAGACTTATGTGCTTAAGCAAAGAAAAATCGGGGCAGTTTTTGAAAAAGTACATTGAATATTTTACCGAAGAAAAGATGAAGTATGACAAGAAGTCTGCAACGTCGCAAACAGAAATGCATAATTATGCACTTTGACCATCAATATGCATGACTAAATATAAATTAAAGGAGTTAAAGATACTGCTACTACTATCTAATATAAAATAAAAATACAATATTTAAGTATATGCTAAAAAATTCTCCAATGTTGGGATTAAGGAGAAAATAAATGGGATTTTATGGTATGAAAGTTCATGAAAATATTCTGGATTGTTCTATCATTCTTTAAAGGTATAATGGTTAATCTTTCCTTCAATTACAGACATTGAATCTTATCAAAAGTTAGGTTATTTGAGCATTTGCAGAATAGGAGCTTTGCAATTACAGGATATAGCAATGCTGCAGGAAGAAACGACAAGACGAACTTCAAGGATTTGGAGGATTCAACGAGTCGAAGATCTGAAGAAATTCCGAGCCCTACAGATGACACTGAGAATTCATGAGGAAAAAAACCCGTGAATTCTTCCAGTGCCATTCCTAGGAGTCGACATACAGTGAGTTTGCGAACTTATGTTGAAACTGAGCGCCTGATAAAGCTAATGTTGCTTGCAGCTAGCCATGGCAAATGAAGATTAGAATACATCTATTACATACTCAAGGGTGTAGACTTCTAGACACAGCAAACTGAATGAACACTATCTGGTACTGTGTAGAATCACTTAAAATTATGATGAGTACATGTGAAATGACTGACGAATTTCTTTATTCAAAAGTTGCATGTTCAAATTTCCTGCAAATGCGGATGCTTTCCCTGCAGTTGCCAGCAACCAGGTTTGCAAAGAAAAGGGAGTAAAAAAAAACACCCTGCGTAAATTAACCAAACAATTTCACAGCCTGGTATCAATCGTTCTTTCAGATGATTACAATTGTTTGAATGCATTTTTTAAGGGGAAAAAAGATAAAACAATGGAGATGTTGCATGTGTGACGGATTTGCGATTTGACCATTGATTCTTACGTAACAGTTTGCAAGAAACACGATGGTGCCACTGGTTTTCTCTGAAATTATCCCCCAAGCTCAAAAAAAGCTCTCAAAGTGAGGCCAAAATGGAGGGGATATCCCACCCTACCCTGAGAGTCCACCTCTACATCAAAACAAACTCTCCATGCAAAGATAGGGAGCAAATGGAGCAAATACATTAGCAGGGTTGCCACTTTATTTGGGGACTCCAAAACTGAAAACACAGCAACCCTGCTAATGTATTTGCTCCCTATCTTTGCATGGAGAGTTTGTTTTGATGTAGAGGTGGACTCTCAGGGTAGGGTGGGATATCCCCTCCATTTTGGCCTCTTTTTTGAGAGCTTTTTTTGAGCTTGGGGGATAATTTCAGAGAAAACCAGTGGCACCATTGTGTTTCTTGCGAACTTTTACATAAGAATCAATGGTCAAATTGCAAATCCCTCATACACACAACACCTCCATTGCTTTAAAACACTTTAAATCATACAGGAGAAAAACTGATGACAGTTGTTGAAATTGATCAATCAGTTGGACATTTTCTTACAATCTCTCAAAACCAAACAATTACAGCAAACAGAGGAAATTGAAAAACTCATGATAGAAACTACACAAATTACACATTTTGGAGTGTATTTAGATACTTCCTATGTGCTCAACATAATTTAAGAGAAATTTAATGGAGTTGGCTGTATCTCTGGTATGCGACAGATCCATTGTTGAGAAACATTTTACATATCTGGATGATAGTAGCACTCATTTCAACATGGAATGAAGATGTGAGTGCCTTTACGTTTAATTATTCCAGTAATAGGCAACCCAGATCTTCATTCCACGAGGGTCTATATGGTTTGTGATGTCCTCAAACGCCTGCATGTTTTGGTGAGAGGCTTTCCGTCTTTCTTGAAATTTTGAAGTTGATGGTGCGTTTGGAAGCTGCTGAAAGAAATTTGAGCTGGTTGTCCCGTAAGGTTGTATTAATTTTAATTCATAAAATTATTTCTATACAATGGAGAATTAGCATGCAAATTTTTTATTGCTTCATCTGAAAGTTCTTAAAGAGCTGATTTCACAGTATTTTTCATAATTTTTTTTCTGATATGGGAAATAGTATAAAGCTAGATTTAAAAGTGACAAAATGCACCGCCTAGTGACGTCATCTGGCAGCATTTCCCATTGAAACACCTGTATTTTAGCAGATTGGATCATTTTGTCATATCTTCTCTAATAATTGGTCATTTCATGAACGAAGGGTATCCTCGTGTTCAGTTTACTCAGAAGTTTCCACTTAAACACGAAAGTCATCAAATTTCAGACACTTGCAAATTCTCTATTCTAAATCTATTTTTATACTATGCAACATAAAAATGTTGCAACATCAAAACATCGATCGGGGAAACCTTTTGCTTCGGTGAAAACTGGGAAGATAAGACTGACGAAAAGAATCAAATTCTTCCAAATGATATCGACATTTTGCGCAGTGCCTGCTCACACACAGCTACGGCCCCACACCTCCATTAGATTTGTGTGTAAGAATGTCGAAAAATTCATTTATCAGCCCTTCTTCTCTGGAGATTAACATTTAAATAGTTAAATTTTAAAAGTTGATTGTGCTCTAAAGACCGTAAGGAGCATCATATCGGAAAAAATCGAAAATTGGCTAGAGTTTAATTTCTTGGTATTCTGTGCGTAGTCAAGTCAAATTAAAAATTTAAAACAGTGAGGCATTGACCGATGACTCTGAATTTCAGGATGTAGATTTGAAATAATATTAGATGCATTATAAATCCAAAATTCTGAAGAGTATCTGCCCATCTTAATTCAAAAGGTACTGATGGTTTTACATAAGCCAGTGTCACACTTTCAAAATGTCAAGGTCAATTGTTGTGATTGGTCTCAGTCATCGAATAAGCCAATCACAACACCTGACCTTGATATTTTGATGGCTTGTTTTGATAGTGTGACACAGGCTATTGGAATAGATAAAACTCAGTGTTACCAACTTGTAATACTCATTACAATGAATGATGAATGGGTAAATAAAGTAGCACAATCTTGATTTTACGGAACAATTTAAGCAAGAAAAGATACTGAAAAAGTCTAACTTACACTGGGCGGTGTTTGGTTGATCGTCAATTTGTAGGTCAATAGAAGCCATACATCAACATCCAATTCTCGGAAGAAATTGCTGTACACGCTCAGATCAGCCAATTTTTCAACTTCTGGCTGATCTTCGGTCTCATCCGCTGCATTATCTTTGTTCTGCGTGCAACCAGATAGGACGGTATTCTCGTTCGCTTTGGATGTGGATGCTGCAGTTTTGTCCAACTTCTTGGATTTTCTTTTCTTTCCGCCTTTCTTAGCACCTTTTCTACAAAACACACACAATTTTGTTAGTGGCTGATAGACTTTCCTTTCCTTTCAATTATTGCAGTAAGTATTTTGAGGCTACAAAAACAAACCTTCCTACGTTTCTTCAGTGTTGTGAGACAAGAAATATTGACGATGAAACTTCCAAACCACCCATTTTGTTTGAGATGTCTTATAATCTCCGCATCTATTTTATGTTTTTTGGGGACGAGAAAAACAATATCATTCCTTGAAGTTCCCACAAAATATTCTTCACATATAAAGGAAAAATCACAGCAGTTTTAAAAATTGCCGTTGAGTAGTTTTCCATTTAACGAATAGAGTATGACAGGAGGTCTGCAATGTTGCAAACCAAGAAACGTGGTTTGGGAGTTTTACCATCCATGATCACAGAAAAGCCATGATCTAAGGCTTTATAAACTGATTTGTTCTTTAAAATTTTGCTTTAGAACTACATATACAAAAGGATTCAAATTCCGGAATTTACTCTACAGCACAAAATTGAGATTCCGAACTACTACCGATTTTTTACACATTTCAAAAAAAGAGGAAACAAGGAATAAATTAGTTTTTCAACTTGACAAAAATTAATTAAGATCAATAAAAATGTGCGCAGGAGTTAGATCTGAGCTCCTCATGGCAAGGCTTTAGAGAACATTTAATGATAAAGACCTAAAAAACTTACTTTTTTCCTTTGTCTGCCGAAGTGACAGGGGACTTTACCGCAGTATGAAAGTGGGCCATTGGTGGGCAATAATCAGGAATGATCATTTTAGGCAAGCACCGAGAGATTTGATTTTGTAACCAGATGATCAGACGGAGCCTCATAACAACCTGCAATGAAAGAACAAGCAGATTTAAGGGTTAGGGTTAAGATAATGATCATACTAAGTCAAAAACACTTTTTATTTTATCCATCATATTACTTAAATCACCTCATTTGACATTCAAAAGTCATTCAATTTCAGACAGGGATGAATCCAAATGAGCTTCATTTTGCAAAATGGAACTATATTTCTCTCGTTTATCCATAACAGAACTTATCTGGATAAGGAAACTAATATGTTGTTTGTAAAATGAGCCAGAAATAGTACCTCCTCATAGTACACTGTAAAATCCAAATAACAAATCCCACAATTCTCATATTGCAGCAAACATAAGGACAGGTAGGAATTAGAAAATGATGAGACTTTCAGAAAAATATGATACCTGACTTAAGAGGAACTTAAAAAAAAGACTCTGATGGTTTTTGGGATGTTGGGTTGTGCAATTATTTATTCCTTAACCGAGAGGCGATTACGACGGGGAACAGAATGCAGTTTCCTGTACCCTCGTCTCCAAGTCAAAGAGAAAGTAAGTCAAACAATAAGTGAGGGGTAAATCGGTTTCATTGATGACTTAAAGTACTGGGCCAATGAACCTTTCATTCACATTTAGAGCCCAGTTTGAATGTACTACAGCTTAACACATTCCTTATCGACGCATTTAAGCATAATTAATCATGCCAGAGTTAGAAACAGGCACAATTAACAGCAAAATTCAGAAACTTCTAACCAGAGATTCCACCGGATGTCTCTAAGTTGGTAATTTCTATCAATTACATACGTGACTGGTGCTCTAGAATTACTCCTGTGAAGGAGCCACAGAAAGTGCCTCTGTCAGAAAGCAGCGCAGTGGAAATGCACCATTCAACATGTCGTTCACTAAAACTAGTCTTTAAGTCAAACATAAAACGGTTACTATAACTTGCTTGGCAGGGAATGTGTTAAAAAAGAGAGTTCAGAGATAGTCGAAAACGAGATTATTCTCACACCTTATCTCCATTCTCCTTCCGGATGAAACAGGAAAATGCATTGATGATCTCTCGGTACCAATTGACGCAGTAGAATAATGAATTCATGACGACGGTTTGATCATCCGGAGACAAGTTGAGAAATTCGTCCAGAGTTTCCAAGGTGGGCATGGCAACAGGACACACAAGAAGTGCGTCAATTTCGCTCAGGTCTTCGCTTTCAAGGGCTCGCAAGAGTCGCACCAGAGACGGCAAAATCAACAAAGGGAAAAGGCTGACCAAGAAACAAAAATATATGGAGATGACAAAGTTGTTTAAAACTACAACTGAAAGTTCCTCTTTGTGAATCTTGTGGTTCTAAAGGAATCTCTCTCCCAAGTCACCTCTAATCATGGTGAATATTTTTTTTTAAAATGGATTTTTTTCAAGATAGCCGTAAATATTTGTGAAAGATTATTAATTCAGATACATTCATTTGAAATGTCAAAATCCAATTCTACAATCTCATGCTATAAAAATTGCTCTACTGAAAATTTTGCCTACACTGTCACTCCTCTGATGTAAGGACGCATCTCAATTTTTACAGGAACCCTGTTCTCCGTATAACTCCATGGCCTCTGCAACTCATGTGGAAGAAGAGATACGCCTTTACGTCAGAGAAGCCATAACATGGACTAAGGTCGGTGGACATTGGTTACTGTAAAAGATGGTACTTGGTCTTCAAGAAATTCTGCAATTTTTTTTTTCAATGCCAAAGTTATTTTCTAAAAATTAAGTTGAGAAAGAGTTACTTTTTTATTAGAAATTAAGTGCTGATGAAGATTCTGAAACACCACAATTAAGTGATAATGTATTTTCACCACGAATGTATCATACTATAGCTTCAGATGTCCCAACGTCTATTTAGAATAGTTGTGTCTCAAAGGTTCCTTCATCCTTTCCCCTCTGAATCAGGGAGTCACCTTACACACCCAAAAATACAATTTAAAATCAGACAGCTACATATAAAGAATGAAACTGTCTAAAAAGTGATGATGCTTACACTGAGTCAACAGGGATACGCTTTTCATGGTCTTTGATGACTAAAGATGTTAGGTCCAGAGCAATACCATCTTCCTCGTTCTCTTCCAGACTGAACTGAAGTGCATATTCAAAAGTGTTTTCCCTAGAAAATGAAACAAGGTTAACAAGGAGATAAGCAACAACAGAACACTTCACAACACAACATTTCAGCGATAAAAAAATGCTATTGAACATAGAGCTTTCCCAAAATTATCCTTTTGGCTCCAAACTCTTGAATTAAAAGTTAAAACCATTAGAAGAAACATGAGGAAGGTGACAACTTCAATCATTTGATTGGTAAAAACATGGTGTCTAGAATTCTCAATTTGCTCCATCTCTCCATTTTCCCTAATCATCAAAGATTTCCTCTTGATTTTGACCGGAGTTTCTTGGGAATTTTGACAAAAGTCGTCAATTTCTTCACCTCTCCCTCCATGATTGGTCAAGACCATATCAACCCAGAGTGGCAAATTTAAAAATAAAATCTCAAGGGAGGAAAGAAAAGAGGTTCTCTGTTTTTAACACAGATTTCTGCACGATTTCACTGACATTTCCTGTATTTTTCGTTCCCTGGTTAATCCCGGTATTTCTAGATCCTGGAAATCATGGGTGAGAGCCTCCTGGACATTTACCGCAGACTAAAAAAATTATTTTGTACAACTGATTTTTTCGGAAGAGTATGGCTGCTGTCACAAACACAATGTGACCAAGTTCGCATGCGCCAAGACTCATAGTTGGTAGTGAGGAACTGGCAACTGCCCATTTTTCTCGCAAATGTCAATCAAACGATTTGCATGGCAGCAACTTATTATCAAAGACAAAGATCCATTTGGTTCCTCGTGGTTGTAGGCTTGTTCGCTGGTGGAATGACCTTCCACAGGAGCTGCAAAATGGTTTAGATTTGGTTCGTCTGAAGTTTTCAGCAAGTAGGTGGGCTTTATGTACTTATGAATAGTTATTATGTCATCTTATTCTGTTGTAATGTTATGCTCCCATACTTGTGCTGTATTGTTATAAAGTTTTATTTTCCCCTTGAATATTCGTTTCTTAGTCAGTCCAATGTTAAATTGATAAATGAATGAAATATTTCCAAATTTTGCAGATAAATTTCAAGAGTTCTGAAGAAATCAGTGCCTCTGACACGTCAACAGCAGAGAATCATCAGATCAAATAAACACTACTTACTTCCTAGAGAAGTCTGGTACACTGATCAAAAAGGACTCCTGCAAATTATTTTTCATGGCAACAGAGACACGATACTGCAAAAGAAAAGCAAAAGAGCAAATTATTACAGTCTTCAAATCTACTAATATCAATCTGCCATCATGAGATTGATGATATCTTTCTGAGTTGTTTCATTTTATCCACTATTGGACCTATTTCACTACTAAATCAGAAAGATGACCGCTATGAAACTGCTGATTATTTGCAATGATTTTTGACTAACATTTCTTGACAATGCCTCGATCGAGGACCCAACTTCTACATACCTATTCCTGGGAGACCCTTGCATTGCATCTGTTGCATACTTGCAATAGATATCATATTCTAACCACCCAAAAAGCTGTTTTTTTATTCTCATTCATGAATTGCTCCTAAAAATTAACTTTGATACCTCAAAATATGAGTTTCTTATCAAATTTGGTGCCAAAAGAGTAGGCCATTGGGAAATACTTGAAACTTGAGTGAAAGTTGTTGCGGGAAAAATTCGTTAAGGGTTGGAAGTTTGATTGAGCGTTTAGTAGTCTTTACCAAGAGCACCCGGTCCAAATTCTTTGTTCGGAAAATGAGTTTTGAAAGCTGATCAAAAAACAAGCCCTGTGCTTCAGGGTTTAATCTTGTACTGGCCATGACGAGATCTGAAAAAAATAAATTTAAAATAAAATTTTAATCATTAGCACAGGCACCTAAAAAAAATAGGCTCATTAGACAGCTTTTTCTCACAGCACAAAAGGGAGGTACAGTATTAATAAAAATAGTATGGTAACTTTATGATTAATTTTTTTTTTAGTCAATCTGCAATTTCTAACTTATGTTAATTTCTGGAAATATATGAACTTATTTAGATACAAAGGAACTGAATCGCATTATAGAGAAAAATGCGTTAGGATTACTTTTAATCTTAAGCGTGAGTGACTCACGCCCTTTTCCACCTTTTTTGATGAGTCTAGACAGATACTACTTAAATATAATAGAGCTAATGCTCTAAAATGCTCTAAATATACCAGAGCTATATCTCTTACGTTCTACCTTTTAGAGGAATGAAACTGCCCTGATCACCTAATCACCATTACGAATGATACATAATTCAATATTTGTAGTATTTTACTTTAATTATAAATAATTACCTAGCAAAGGAAAAGCTCTTTTTGCTCTATCTGTGAGTGGCACGTCAATTTCACTGGCCCGATCAGGCCATTCATTCTCCTCACTGTTGGGGACACTGGCTATGTGCTTAATGATCATGACTGTTGACACCACTCCGTTGCGCACTGTACTGACTTGTGAACTGGCCAGCTGTTTACGTGCCAGCATATTGAGCTCATCTTGAAGTGCATAACAGTCCGTGTTGACATCATCGCTGACGGAGGAATATGCGATGCGCGAGAGCGTGTCCATGAGCATACGAACCTCATTCAGGCCGATCTCATTGAGTTTGTTGAGCAGCGATGTGAGGAGAACTGCAAAGTTTTTGAGCTTGCTGAGCTGGGTTTCGGCCAGCTGATTCAGGATTTGAAGAGCAGACCGAGTGTGCATTGCGTCGCCTGCGCCAACATACATTAATAACTCCGTTACGATCCACTTACACCACTGTCCAGACACGTGACTGAAGCAGTTGCTGCCAACAGAGGAAAATGAGGATGATTTCAGATTTTGAAAAAAGGAAAATACTGAATTTTTGTGTTGTTGAAGTAACCAGGCTAAAATGACGCCCATTTTCATAACTAAGTTAGTAATCTCTTGAGGTAAATGATAAAGAAAAAGAAAAAGTAAGGGGAAAAAGGTGAGAAAAGGCAAGAATTGAAAATTGCTAAATTGTTATAACATAAATGTATTTTAAAATAATTTTATTTTTGATATGATGTTCTTGGCTTCTCTCTACCGAGGATATCCTTTATCTTTAATTTAAAATTTTTTTAAGGCAACGAAGTTATGGGTATTGATGCAAAGGCAGGGGAACCCTATCGAGGGCAAGCTTTTGGGAAGACAAAATATTTCGAATTACGTATCTAGCATAGCTTCTAATCTTTGGTTACCTTCTTCCAATGGTAAGGTTGGAAAAATTTGAAAGTCTTATGTATTTCTTGCAGGGCTGGATTAAAAAAATTCATGCACTTGAAGAATTTTCTATACTAGCTGGGAGTAAGACTCAGCATAACTATTTAATAAAACATAGATCATTTACATGTCTCTATGTGACTGGAAAAATTTGATTAATGAGTATGGAGTGTCATTATTAAGTTTGGACTTTCGTAGCATTTCATCTTACTCTCTTTGAATGTTTAAGGTTACTGTCTCTAAAGTGGAAGGACTTCAATTCATAGAACTGAGATGATGTTTTTCATGAAAAAAAATAACAAGTAATTTCACAAATCATAGAGCAGAAATCAAAAATTAAGATTTAATTAGAAAAGGATTTACATTCTCAATCATCTTGATGCTCTTAGACTTTCTATGACTGAACCAGTGCTGTGGTGAACTTACCAGTAAAGATCAGATGCAAATTCAGTAACAACAACTTCTGGACACTTAAGAAGCACTGATGCAATTTTCATCAAAGATGCAAAATTATCTTCAACTATCTGAAAGAAAAAGTAAAGAAAGACAGCAAGTTAGCTGGAACTATGATTCCTTCAGTAATTGTGTCTGAACTAACCAAAAATTGATCATAGTATTTTCAAGTGTTCATGATTTCGCAAATAACATAATTTTCATGTGGAAGCAAACTGTCTTTTTTTCAGAGCTTTTTTTTCTTGGGTTACTGTTTTCAAAGTCCTTCAGGGTGGCCCTCCCATTTTTAAAACTCCCTTTTAAGTATTTTTATTTTTGCACCCTAGCGCTGAATGATTTTCTTGGGCTACTTCTATGGCTGTGTTTCATTTAAAATGTTTGTGATATTGTTTCATTCTGTTTAAATATTGAAGGCAGAGTAAGAATACAAATCGTACCAGAAGGAAAGACTCAAAAACATCCTCCATGACTGCAATTTTCAAAACTCCTTTGACAATTTTTGTGCGGAACAATGTTTCAAGCTTTGTCTTTCTTGTTGTGTTGGCAGCAATTGAGTACATGATCAGCAGGACCACAACATCTAGTGCCCTGAAACATGATGAAATGAATACCATGACACATTAAAATCTTTCGATTCAGCATATTTTATTGCGATCAATGACAGACTCTCTCCAAAGTGTGCTTCATTCTTCATTAGTATTTAATAATGCTGTTAGGAATTCATGAAAGCAGTGAAACGTGCAGTGGAGTGGAAGGAATAAGAAATGTCAAAGAATCCTGTTTAATACCGAGACATCTATGTTACCTTAAAATAAATGAAAATAATTTTGTGCTACCATTTGGTCTACGTTCTCTTATAATGGGTATGAGATATGTTTAATGCTCCGCAACCTGTGACAAGATACAATAATAACAATTTAACCAGCAAGCAACAAGGCTAATTTTCACAAAAGTACCACCAAAACGTTTCGCCTGAAAACTCAGCCTTCCTCAGTTGAATTTAACAGTAAAAATTGTTTAAAAAATCTAAAAACTTAGTACTTGACTGTACCTTTTAAAGCGAGAAAAATGTTGTAGTCGACGTTTTGGTGGTATTTATGTGAAAATTAGCTCTGTTCCTCGCTGTTTAACTTATTATTGTAAAATGGGTACATTGCTTCTTGCGCAGTACTGGAAAAGGTATCATCGACAGGTTTTTGCGAGGAGTAAGTAGTATTTCCGTTAAAATTGAACATTTGGATAGATATGCCCTTTAAAATCTAAAAAGTAAGATTCAACTATCTTGAAACAATTGCCTAGTAGACAAGGAGCAAATTTAAGCATCAAGATTTACAAGTCCTCATCAAAAATTTAGGTAGAAAACGATTTGGGTGACAAAAATTGTTGAAAGTAACTCCTAACAAAGATATTAGCATTTTTCAATGCATAAATTTAAACTTTCCGCTCATTGAAAAACCTGTTCTCCTTGCATTTAAGTCCACACTAAACGTTACCATAACATTCTCGGCAGTATAAAAATATAGCAACCTCAATCTGGGGGCTTAGGCTCAGCTGTTACGCGTTGTTTACTTCTTGAACAACACAGGGCAGGGAAGGAACACAGTTCTATGAAGAAGCCTACCAAAACCGTTGCAGTGTGCAATTTGAATCGCTTCGACTATGGTTTTTCAAAACCAGTGCTCAATAGAAACGTCGTTACTTTGGTTAGTAGTTGTTTTCAATAATTTTTGTTGCGTAAGTCATATTCGACATGAAATTTTGGAGAGGAGACATGTGTCAGAATGCTTCAATTGGTACTTTGTGCAGTGGTCCATTCCGAGACATACAACTGACTCATCATTCCACTTTTTACAATGTAATTGAAACATAATACAGAAAACACTACACAACAACACACACCAAAAATTTGATCATGGGTCACTGATGGCAACCTTCCATTTGAAATCAACCTTTTGACATTCTCTGAAAATAAATGGATGTGGTCAGAATGAATTTCATGGTGGCATTAGTTAATTAATTTTGCTAGGGTGTCAAATGCTCTGAAGAAATGGAATGTAACTCACTTCATTCCTCCAGGATTAGAGATATTCTCAATATTTTTCAGCCAAGTGTCTGCTAGAACTTTGGATACAAGAAGTCCATAACGTATCATGTTAAAACATAGTTTCTTGGAGGAGGCAATATCTGCTGGTTTGGCATTTTGAGTGCGTGTCTGTGACAAGGCTGGAATCACAGAGGGGAAAAGCTCAAGCCTCAAACCATTGATGACCTGAAAATGACAGGAACGAACATTTTCCAGATGAGAGATATGAGAGAATATTCAAAGTAAGGATCTCCTCTTTTTAAGTGATACAAAGACTCACAAGAAAAGATATTGTTGAAATGTAGATGAGATATCTCATCTAGTTGAATGTGACACTGATGACCATGTTGGCGAACAAAAATGGTTTGAGAGGAGGAACGGAATCTAGACACTGGGCTATAGATGATGGTCTACGAATTAATTTTTGAACAGAAAATCAGAGCTACCAGCAAAAAGTAGCTTGGAAGTTTCGGAAAATATAGATGGGGACAGCTGAATGACTTTAAGACACATCACAAATGGAACAATTTTATTAGTGAGCTACCCATTTTCTTTTGTGTTCCACCAAAAATCTGTGAGAGAGCACTGTAATCCTTTTGGTACAAGGTTTGTGCAGCTGCATGAATGAAAAATTATGTACCTTTTAAGCTCCTTTGGAAGAATTTTTGAGCACTTTTAAAGACTTTTTTTATTATTTATTCCTGAACGCACAGTTTCCTCTCAGCACCATAATTCTTGAAGATGAGGATTTTGTCAGTTCTTTTATTTTGCTTGAAGTTTACTGACACAAAAAGCTTTGAATGGTTCCGCATTGGGGCAGTGCAGCACAGCTTTCGCCACTGCTGCCAAGAGTAGGAGTCTATGGCAGCAATTTTTGATTCGCACGGAAGGTATTTCCTTTACAATTTGAAATCTTTTCAAAAGATCCATTTGACATCAAATGCTTCTCTTCAACAAGCATCCGCCGCTGACAATTAGTAAAGGGTAAAATTCGAGAACTTTTCAAGCACCTTCCAAACAATCAAAAACTTTCAAGGCGTTTGAAGAAAATTTCAAAATCTAGCACATTCTGAGCACTTTTCAAGGCTTGTAAAACTTGTGATAATCTACTAAGTTTCTGATGTAGAGCGTTTTTTCTCAGAAAAAAAGCCTGAAAAAATCAGTTTTTCACCCATAAAACGACTTCATTTGCGCTGAGTTACAAAGCTAAGCCAATATTCATTTCTTCTTGACCTGACCTCCCTCAACAAAAAAGCGATTTTATCAAAAGCTACTCACTTCGTTTGCTTCGTCCACTGATGAGACTGATACAAGGAACTTAACCATACTCGGCAAATATTCGACAGGAGCTCGCCGTAAACTACGGAGTAGTGACTGCTGCACTTCTACCCTCGTCTCAGATTGGAGTGAAAGATTTGTCAGAGCATCCAGCACAGCGGTTGTTAAGGCAGGTTTTTCTCTTAGCAATTTGCTGAAAGAAAAATACAAATCTAATAAAAACCCAACTTGCTTTAGGATCTCCTCACCCGTATTAGATAAATTCTAATGGATACACACATTTTTACCTAATAGCATTACTGTAACAACTTACCTCAGCTCTGATGCAGCATTGAAATGGTCCATGTCTCCGATTATGTCAGGTAGACATACAATAATTTCTCTTTGTACCTGAAATCATGAAATTATTTTCATTATGAAAGGTTCAAAAATTTTATGAAATATATACCGAATTGATTTCTATTCTTTCTGAAATTTTTCCGAATATTTAAGGCAAAAAAGCAAGGATGAGGAAAATTATTTATTCCCAATTTTTGCAGGATGTTGGAAGAAGGTCTTCACAGTTTTCCTACCAACTCAAAAATTTTAATCAATCATAATTCTGAATATGCCCATGTGTTCCATGTTCTTCTAAATACAAGTCCAGGATCCCTCACTTTCTGCATTTTACAATTATAGAGCCATTAAAATCGACAATTTTTTTTTTATTTAACTCCCTGTGACAGAAATTGAACATAAAATATAACTTACCACAGGATTATCACAGGCATGTATGATATCGAATAGCTGTGTGTTCATTTTGCCTGGGTCCGAGATTTTGTTGAGAAACCTGAAGGACTGAAGAATCATTCGAATCCATGTGACAGTAGAGACATCTGAGTCACTGCTGAAAAAGTCAAAGATGAAGCTGAAGTGTGTTTGATAAAAAAAGGAACGAAGAAATTCAGACACAGATCTGAGTCCATTTAGAGTGTATTGGAATAGATTAATGGATAAGAATTTTGGCAAAAGAAGGGTTCTTCAAATAATTAAAAAAAAAAGATATTGGCGCAATTCCATAGAGGAATTTCTACAGACATTTTGGCATAAACAGCACTCGAGGAATCTTAGATAAAATTGAAAATATGAAGAAATAAAGTTTCCATATTAAAACTTATGGTTTTGAGAAAATTATACTTAGGGTTTCACTCATCTGCCATTATTATGGCTCAAAATTGTCTAATGAAATTGTGTTCTATTTCAGCATAAAAAGAAACTTAACTGCATGCAATTCATTCTATGGGATATTAGTTGCTTCAAGCACAACAGGAAATAAATGCCACCTGACTTGTAAGAACTGAAAATTCACAAGAATTGAGAACTTACGAATCTTCATCCATTGCTATTTCGCCCATTTTTTCTAGCAAATATTCCATTAGTTTAGGCTCTAGGCAATCCACTTGGAGCAAAAGATGGACCAGGCTGTCTTGTGTGTGACCTCGGGCAATGTTGCAGTCCTCTCCAGTCTGGAATTTTCATCAAACAGCATGAACATTTTCAGCAGCAAACACAAACAAAGCGATGATTATTCCCTACTAATTTCTTGTGGATGAGGAGATCCAAAAATGATTGGATATAAGCAACCAGTGTATGAGAACTCATGGTTTGCGTATACATGATATTCTCATGACTTGGTGTCCTCTACGGTATTGGTGATTTGTTGATACGGCATTGAAGAGTGGGGGTTGAGCTGAACGAAAGCAAAATAAGAGGGAAAAAAAATCTGTACAGCGAGGGGGAGTGAGTGATATGTGCAGAGAACTGGAAAAAAAATGAACAAAAATCCAAGAGAAACAGTGGAAGAACTTCCACTTCTCAAACAAATGAAGCAGTTCTTGGTGAAAATTTGCATGTCGTTTAGCTTTTAGTTCAAAAAACATTGCTGCCAGCAAGAAAGGCTCACTACAGCTGCTCCAGAAGATTTGCCACAGTGCTTAGGGACAATAATTGAAAAGGATTCCAAAATTTGCCCGATTCTGTGCTGTAGCTGTTATACATTTCACTTTCTTCTGTACACACGTTGTCGACGACATTATGTGCGATCATATCAAAGATAAATATTATAGTTCTCTCCAATGAAAATAGCTACCAAGACTTTAACCCTTTATTAAATGAACTTTATTTCATTAATACTATTACTTTGTAGTACCATCAACCCTAGCCTATCACATTCACCTGTGCCTGTACATACGTGGAATTCAACAAGAATAAGAATATACCTGAGTAGGTGACAGTGCTTTGAACAGTAACTTCCTGTCTTCATGATATTTTTCAAAGTCTTTCATAAAAATGGAGACATTTTTATCAACAGGTCCTGACTTCATAGCTTTGGAAACGTTATTGATGAAGATCGCCTGGTCCTCATCTAAAAACCATAAAAAAATGTCGGTTAAAATAAACCAAGAGAGAGTAAATTAGGAAAAATGAAAATGACAAATTATGTAAAAATTGCACAATTCACATTAAATGTGTAGAAGAAGAGTTGCGACAAAACCTTTCGGCTAGAAGTAACCAAAGCTGCATGAACAGTTCGATTAAATCCTGACTAGGGGAGTGAGGATTTTTGGAATTCAGTCTTCGTTTCTCTTGTTATCAGAAGATCGACGGTGTGAGTCAGCAATCACATAACTCATACTTTATTTTTTAAACAGAAAACTACTCAACGGCAATTATTTAAAACTGCCATGATTTTTCTTCTCTGCGCGAGGAATATTCTGCAAAAACTCCAAGGAATGATGTCCATTAGTTCTCCTTTTTAAAAAATACCATAGAGACGGAGATTTTCTGATGCCGCAAACAAGATATGTGATTGAGGACTTACACCGTCAAGATGCCTCAAATGGACTGGTCACTATATTCTATAGTGAAATTTCATCTTCTTCCAGGAGAGTCCTTGAAGTATTGCATCAGATCAACCCCTGAAAAATGTCAATGCCAAACAAACATGCATCAAATGTTCTCCCATTAGACGCATGTTAAACCACAGCCAAGTGTCATCTACTTGCGTGATGTCACATGGAGATGGGTAAGGTCTCTCCTATTACATAGGTAACATTATGGCATCCTGAAATTTACTTAGATCCTTCTGGGGCATTGAATTGCCCTCTGCAAAGGGGAGGTAATTAAATGAGATTAGCTGTGTCAAGAGTAAGCTCTAGCTGTTCTTCCAACTTTCCAGGATGAAAAATATGAAGGTGACAAAAAGGCTTCAGACCTATGTTCTGTCCTTAGGTATATACTAAACCAAATAAACCTTGATTCCTCATTCCTGACGGCTTGATTTGCCAAAACTGGCTGGCTGTTGACTTCAGATAGCTACCTCTCAACAGTAGGGCATGTCAAGTAAAGTATATAAAGCAGAAAACAATTGAAGTCTTACGTACTTAGGATGTTTGGCGAATCATCTTGCTGCAAAAAAAATCCTGCCGTAACTACTATGTCTTCCATGTATGATAAAATTTGTTTTGAATGCATCTCTTTGTACTGCTCTTTGCTCTTTCCATGATCTCTTTTCACTTTCTTAGCACGTGGTTCAGGAGACCGTGGTGGTTTACCAGGTGATTTGAAAACGTTCAGCAATTCATCTGTGTCCATGCCTTCATCCACAGGGTCCGAATCAGGAATATTCTCTGTTCCTTTTTTTGGCGTAGAAGCAGGGGGAATTTTATCAAAGAAGTCTTGAGAGAGTATGGTGGTTCCATCTGAACTGGTACTGCTGGGACGGTTTTGAATGTCTTGCAAGGCACTTCCCACTGAGGATTGGGAGGAATCTGAGGGAGGCTGAACAGACGGTTTCTGTGAGGGCGCTCGGAGTCCGACTCCTAAGCCCTTTGGTCTTCTTTTGTACATGGTACCGACCAACTACCTTAGTCTCCAAATGATATCCTCTACTTTACCTTTGTCCATGCACTTTGGAATTCAGAAATATACAAATTTGATTCAGAATAATTTTCAAAGAACTAAGGCCACTAATTAACTGCTGTGAAGGTACAAGTATGATTATGAACAATTTATGAACCAGAAAATGAGAAAACAGTAACGCGTGAGTTTTCCCGCGTTTATCAGCCGGTATGCTCAACGCTCAACACTCATCAATGATCATCGCGCGCAAAACTGGCACCTGCCTGACGTTACAAAAAGCTCGCTGCTTATCATCTTGCGATTTCTCCTCCTATGCAAGGCGGGCACGGATAAAATTTTTTAATCATCTTCAGAAATTACTAAAATCAGAATCTGACGCTGACGATCATGATTATTGGAGACAACAACAGGAGACAAAGAAAGTAAGTAAACAAAACAACGTGAATGAAATTAGGTTAGAATTTCGTGCACTCTCATCACTCATCCGTGAGCGATCAACACTGAGAGACACCAAGCACCAGATTTGTATAGTGCTGCGCTCTGTCGTGGTGAGTTTGCATTAGTTTCTTCTGTGCTTTTCGAAGCTCTGTGGCTCCGTCATCCGTGCTCCTGCTTGTCTTGTCTCAATCTGCACGTCAGTTTTCAGTTCGCCCTCTTTACGTGTTTTCGAATTTATGGAATCCGTCTGCGTGCCGTGTTGGTACAAATTACTTTCGTCAAGTTCATTCTAATATCTCAAGTTTACATGAGTGTGTGTTGTTCTTTCCTAGGCGCTCACTTTATTCACTCGAGGCACAGTTTTTTGGATTATCAACTTGCCCCTGCCAGGTAATTGCTGTCATCTGTCTCATTTACCTACGCATCTAAAATTTATTTTCCCTCATTATTGACTGTCAAAGTCTCTGAAGTTTACTTTGTCTCTAACAATTTTGCCCTCTTTGCTCTTCATTCGACAGTCATTTTTCTCTCATCTTGCAAGGTATATTATCAGGTTTAGGCCAAGAACTATTATCATTTGTAGCTCCACTGTACACCTGTGAAGAGAAGAGTAAACCACCTTTATCTATTTTATTATGACAAGTGTTCAGTGTCTAAGCATAGCAATCAAATTTAGGTGCAGAGTATTATTTACTATCCGAGGACCACCTTTTGCTTTAAGTCCTCCTGTTTCACTCTTAATGGTGTCTATGTAACCCAGAAGAAAAATTAGATCGGTCAAAAAGTCAGTTTCGGTTGATCTGAGAAAGTTGTTTGAAACCCCTTCATTTCATAGTCCAGGTCACAGTACCTTCTGATGTAAGCTAGAATCCATGTTTTTAAGATGTAGCATCATTTCTTGTCATAGGTGATGCTATCACAATTGGAAATGTGGCCGGTTGATAATCTTTCAGTAGATAATTAACCTCACTTTTTGAAATGTGTCTCTCTATTTTCCCTGTAATCAAAACTAGAAGTATGAGCTCCGTTGTCAAAGTAAACTGTTTGAGACTTTTTGCAAACCATTTGATCGATCTAATAGTGTTGTTGGACTCTGTTTGAATCATCCAACCGTTGATCATGTGAATCATCACTTGCGTGTTTACACATGAATGTCCAACAGTTGTACCAAACGCTCAATACTCTCGAGAGGTCGATGGTGACCGTTTGGTTGCATTTGCAAACAGATGAACCTAATGGAATTGGATACGTTTACTTTGACAACGCAGCTATGGTTTTTCTGTCAATCGCATGGAAGAAATTAGTTGCTATTGATCCCTGACCCTGAAGAATAAAGAGAGGTAAAAGTAAACCTGAATATCTCCCCTGCAATAAACTTTTACATGCGTTTACAAACTCTAAAGGTTTTCACTTTTCTTCAAAGCAGTTTTGGGGCACCTAGATCTGCTGATAAGAGTGATCATAGCGTCGATGCTCTTGAGCTTTCCCCTGGTTCGACTTAAAAAGTTAAGAGCCCAAATTAACGCTGGGAGAGTTCCAAATACAACGGTGTGTTCTCATGATTCAATTTTGAAATAATGATTTAATGAAAGGTGAGGACATCATAAGTCTAATAGCATGGTCAGTTTTTCACTGGCATTAACACAATAAAATCTATGAGAGATCTTACTCTCCGGATGACTCTCATGACGCCATCAGCATGGACCGGCTGTATCGGAGGCTCAGCAAGTCATATTGACCTTCAACCGAAAAAAGGGTTGAAATCTATTCCTCCGTACGATTGAGTGTTTAGAACTAAGTTTAACAACTATTTTCAGGTTCAAAATATTTTTCTCTTTTAAATTATTTAAGTAACAGGAAAATTTTTACCATCATTGGAATTCAAGACCACTGTAAACTAATTTTCTCCCAAAATGCGACTTGAGTTGTTTCTGCAATACTCAGTAGATATAGTTGAAGCCCTACACTATTCTGCCGTCCGTAGGAAGAACGCCGCTTAAGCCTTCAAACTTTGCTATATTTCCTTCAATAAAAAACAAATCTGCAGTGAAAGTTGTGAGTATGTTCCTCCATAATTTTTGTCGATTTTGTTTGCATTTTTCTAAAATATCTGAATATTACAAGAAAAAATCAACATATATTTCATTAAAAAAAAACATTATCGGGGGAGGTTTGGCAACGTCTGGAGATTCATACGGCGTTCTTCCTCAACAGTATTTTATTTTCCACACGTCTTTTTTGAAAGTTCCCAATGCAAGCAGACTTCTCGTGTTAAACGCGTCCAAACTTTGATCGAAATGGAGAATTTGCACACAAAAATCAAATTGCTTCATATGAGAGTCCTTATTGAGCTGAGTCCACAGTATTTTTCACAAATTTTTTTTCTGACATGAGCCATTGGAGAAAAATAACTTAAAAAGTGAGAAAATGTGCCGCCTTATGACGTCATCTGGCGGCATTTTCCATTTTAACACATGTCGACGGTGAAACTACCAAACCACGTATCTCGTTTGCGGTGTTTAAAAATCTTTGCTCGCATTTTATTTTTTTGAAGTAGACCAAATCAATATCATTCCTTGAAATTTTCACAGATTTTCTCCGCACGAAGAGGAAAAATCACAAAAATTTTCAAGACTGGACGTTAAGTAGTTCTTCATTTAAAAAATAAAGTATGACAGGAAGTCTGCGACGTCTCAAACCGAAATACGTGGTTTGATAGTTTCACCGTCGATGTATTTTAGCAGATCAGGTTACTTTGTCATACTTATTTTCTTCAATAACTGTCCAATTTCGAAACCAAGGATATCCACGTACTCAGTTTTCCTAGCAGTATCATTTTAAGGATGAAATTCACAAAATTTAAGACACCTGCAAATTCTCTATCGCCACATTTGAAACCATATTCGCCAGACTGATCCGTCAAAACGCAGAGCTTTTTCTGCCGGCGAAGCTAGGTGCTCCAAAGCCCGATCCGAGAGGCTAGGTCGCTCGGCAAAGCTCTGCCTCCTTCGGACGTCACTATTTAGGTGTTGCGCGCGGTTGCCACGTTCACTTTTCCAGATCGCATCAATAGCTCCGGTTGTAAAGGCGGATTTTTTCGCACAACTCGGCAGCGGCGGCGTTGCGCTGCGCGTAGGAGCCAAATCCGAGAGCAATCAGCGTCGGATCGCGGCCATTGTAGTCGTTGTCCGGCTCTGAAAGCTCTCGATTCCCACCTGCTGCTGTTTTGGGACGACGCGGTCCTCGCACGAGGAATGACTCACGTCGATTCAAAACGGCCGAATCCGAACGAAATCGTATCGGATGACGTCAGTGTAACGCGCGAAAAGTTGGCGTCCCAGTTGTAGTCATAGAGTACACAGAGTCGTAATGTAAATGGGAGAGCTGGCGCCATGTTCTGCTCGACGAATTCTGAGCCCGGTGCGCGCCGAGTTCGGGTCGCTTTTTCGATAAATTTTCGATCCAAAATGGCGGTGTGGAATACGTGGTAATTCCCATCTCCTTTGTTGTTGTTGTTGTCATCGGATGGCCGGGTAGGTACCCGTGTATCGCAAACAATCGATCAATCGAGACAATCGAAAAAGTGACCCGGCGTCACACAGGAATCTCGGAATTCGGGACATGGAAAATGCTTAAAAGTGGCGCCAGCTCTCCCACTTACATTACGACTCTATGTACTCTATGGTTGTAGTGAACAGCAGGCAACGATATTGGGCCGCGTGAACCATACATTTGTGGCCATAGTGTAACCCGGACCTAAGCTAGTAATTGTTCGGTGAGGATCCTCTTGGGGCACACAGGACCAGTGTTCTGCCTTCCCCGGGTGCCATGTGCCTAAAAATCGGGCCTTGGCGCCAAAACATGGCCTTGGTAGTGGCCCGGGGGGGGGGGGGGCTGGGCCATCCTGGCGCCTAAAACATTTGACAGATTGAACGCGCAATCGTGAAAAAGCGGTAGCGATAAAGCGCTCCCTATACGCGCCGTTCGCAGCATCGCCATAGCCCGTATGCAAAAATTTAATTTGGCTCCTAAAAAATAGTAGATGGCTCCTAAAATTTTAGGGAAAAAGCAGAACACTGCACAGGACGATGGTAGTACTGCTGTACTACCCTTGTCGGTGAATGCCCGGGCGGCCTGCGGGCTGATTATTGAAATTTATAGACAAAGCAGTAGAAAAAGGAGATAAAGGTAGTATGGAGCGATCCTATTGGTTAATTTGGGTGGTTGCTCTAGACTAAGGGAGAAAATGATGGACTAACTGAAGGGTCCCGCGTGAGTTGCCGTTAGTTAGTCTATCACCCCCCTCCTTTGTCCATTGCAACCACCCGCTTCCACCAATAGGATCCCTCTTTATCCTTTTTGTCTTGTTTGTCTATAGATTTGTCTATCAATTTCAACGATCAGCCGGTCAGGGGTTTATCGGATGGTATGTTCACCGGCGCCCGGCATACCCACAGGAGGAACAGTCTGATTTGCCTCGATCAGAGGAGGTCGAAGAGGTGGATCTCATGAACCGACCCATACAGTGGATCGAGTCAATAGGAGAGGTCGGACAAAATTTGGAAACTTTAAACGCCTACAACTCCGTTTATACAAACTTTAAAGTTCCAAAATTGATTCTATTTCTTTTCTCGTGAAATTTTATTCTTGCAGCACCCCTGAAAATTTCAAATGTGACGAAATAAACATCTTGCAGTTTTAGTCGAAAATTTTGTGTCCGACCTGTATGATTTACCCAATCCACTGTGCGACCGTTCGGTCTGACATCTTGAAAGCTCGATCAGACCAGGCGAATAGTTCGGTATGAAACACCGAACGTTTGTCTTACATGACAGAGTTGCCACACTCTGAGAAAATAGGGAAACGCCAGGGGCTTAAGAAGTATAGGTTGCGGAATATGAAGAAGAATGATTAAGTAAGAATTTGTTAATCCCCTATACTTCCTTTAAAGGATGCGTTCGATGTTTCGGATAGCGAATTTTACATGTTCAGGTTTGGTCATTTGGTTGGATATGACAATTATTATCTCCACAACGGATGGAAATTTGGCAGTAGGGCGTCTAACAAGTGACACTCCAAAGATGACGTTACATACGTAACTAACGCCAGTTTTTATGAGAATTTTACGAGCAATTTTTACCGGCGGCTCGGCGGGCCGATTCTTGGGTCTTGGTCTATAGCCCATTGAGCGATCTTAATCGATGGAAAACGATGCAAAAACGGGTTTTATCTGCAAAGGTCATTCGATAAAGAAAGGAACGGTGTGTCAATCTACAAGAAATTTTCACACCCGCACTTAAACACAGGATTTGCAATGTTTTGAAACAATTTGAATACTCATCTCATCTTAATAGTTTTCCAGTTGTGTCAATTTCTTCAAATATCTTTGA